AAATCGTAGCCAACAAACTCGTTTGCGATTTCTGCTTCTCTTTTGTACTCGATCCTCGTTTATTTCGACAGTGATAAATCCGAGACAATGAGAGAAAATGGGCAGGTCGTTTATATTATAGTCTCTGCGCACCGTAACGTAACGCTCGTCGAGACACCGCTCCGCGGAAATGAGTGTGACAAATGATTTGATTAAAATAAATAAACCCACCGAATGGCAATAAAAAGTGATTAGTGAAGTTTACCTTTCCGCTGCGCCACCACCGCCGTCACCAGTGTGCTTCAACTACAAGGATTTAGATTACCGGCGTTGAATAAAATACGAGCGTAATTCAAAACGTCAACAGCGAGTGTTTAATCAACAAATATGATGTTTTTTCTACCGTAAATGCGTACATCTAATAATTCAACTATCGAGTTTAATTTTCTCGGCACACATCCAACTCGGAGGGAATGTCGAAAGGAAATCGTATTTCCAAGTACATTATTGGTTGTAATTCTTATGTAGGTACAAGAAAAATATAGTATGGACCAGAAAGCATAAATAATTATCATTGGCGTTAAAATATAATATAAAATAATGACGAACAAGATACATGCGCAAAAAATATAGTGGTTGTGAGCCTATGAAACGATATTTTTTTAAATCCTTATAAAAAAAATTACTTTGCAAAGATTTTGAATAAAGCAGTAAATAACATTTTACTAAATGTCTCATCATTATAATCGACAAAAACCATTTTAAATAATAATTAAACTTAATACCCCATGTAGAAGAATTATTACAGTTTAGTAACAACAGTAGATGTTTAATGTGATTAGCATACCACAATCGAACCACGCCAAGAATTTATTATAAGTATAAATCTATAGAATATAATCTATTATATATAAAATTCACAATACTGATTTAAAAATTTTTACTTTGATAAATTTCTTTAAATCTTATAAATATTATATAAATATAAATATTAAATCTTTGAAAATCTTTAATTTAAAAAAATATACCTTATTAATTAAAATTTGTAGGTATAAGATTTAAATTTCAAAAATTCTTACAAATATTTAATAATATAAAAAACGCATTTAATTTTCAATCGAAAGAGGTAGATGACATTAACACTATGTTTGGTATAGTTCCGTAATATACTCGTACTTTAAAATAAGCTTTTTATACTGATGTAAAGAGTGATATTCCATCAGACATAATTCACACATCACTGTAAGATAAATAATTTCCTATTTCAGTCTCGCTCAGTATCTAAAATTAAAATATTCTAAAACAATGGATTTGTTATATTTTTTAAAATGCCTGTCAAAGGTTGTACACAGTTTACTATTAGTCAATAGATTAGTTTGTTTGATATATTGTAACAATGTGTGCTAYACATTTTTTATAACACAAGTGCGTACAARAGCGGCATAGAAAAAAGATTGAAAAACCTACTTTAAAATCAAACGAAGACAAACGCGCCTACTTACAATACCGATGTCAACAAAGTGTACCACTCGCACAAAAGGGTTGTGCGTCGTTTCATTTATTTATTTTTATTTTTATGCGACGTCTATATACGATAATTAACGTTGTTGGTAGCAATTTCAAGACCACTAGCTAATTGAACCAAGTCTGATTATTTTCGAAATACGCACCCGACCGGGGCGAAGTGCACTGTCACCTTTGAGAGATCAAAAGATTTTTACGCAAAGAGCGGGGAACAAAAGCTCCACTGAGTATCATTACACGCACACCCGCACACTGCACACGCAGATATTCRTATATATATATTTCCCTCGGGGCTCTTGTAAAAAATCGCAAGTTTTTTAATACCTCTTTTCAATGATAATGACGCGGCTCCCGTCAAAGTCAAAGGAATAAGTTATAATAAGGATCTTTTTGTTCTCGGGCATACATGCCTAGGCACGCGCGCCCACACACACGCACACATGGCAACCCCTTCGACCTGCTACTTAGATCGTAAAGAAAAACTCACGGCCCGTCGGCATTATGCGTACACGCGTATGTGTGTGTACGAATGTGTTTATGTAAAGTAGAGCACTGATGCTGTGTTACGCGTAAAAAAACGACATTTTATACACACTATACACATTACACAAAATATAATATGTTATACGTATATATACATACATTATGTACAAGAAAATATTTTTCCGTTTTATACACGAGCACATRTAATGTATATACGAGTATTATGCATTAAATCACACATGTCATATCCCATGTTATAAATACATATAATAGATATAATAATAATAGCCTAGTAGTTAAGGTCRCTGCACATACATAGGTACGCACAAAAATAGTAGATATAGTTGTTTTGTATATAGGTGAACGCGCGTTTCGAAAATCAAGAGTTCTAATTTCGTAGACAATTGTAATTTTTTCTTTTCMAGAGTAGAGCATTTGTTTTTTGTTTTTTTGGTATTCTTTCTTTTTTGTCATCACGAAAAGTGTGTATAAATTGTAATAAAGAATATAAAAACACGATCGCACAACGAAAACCCGACATAAATATAACGTCCCGGAATACATTTGTATACTTATGATAACAATAATAATATTATAACATTAACATAGATATATGTATAGTAATAATAATAACTCAACCCCGGCGACAGATGAGCACGCGGTAGCCACCTCGTCTTCGTCGTTGGTTTGGCGGTGATGCGTGTTCGCGGGACGAGTGAGTGTGCCCCGAGGAAAGGGTTAGAAGTGGGCATTTTCCGATGTGCTCGCGGGCTCCGGGCCAGGGTGTCCTCGGTGCTGCTGCAGCTTCTAGTCGGATTACGGTCGTGTATTTCGAACGTTTTAAATGATGAATGGTCCCGACCCGACCCGGCCATATATATATATATATATATATGTATTATTCATGTATATATGTATATAGTATGTATACCACACTATAAGAACAAGCCAACACGCGTGGGTGTGTGTGTGTATAAGCCTGTGAAATATTGCTTTTAGTGAAACACAGCGCACCATGCAAAGAGCCATTCATTTACCACTTGGGTTCTCCAAGCTCGGTGAGTTTCCGCTCTTACACGCATACACACCACTATACTTATTCGTATACATATAATACATATATAAACCGCCTGGGTTAATTTTTACGCCCTTACGCCTCTTCGAGTGTCCATGTACCTAAACAATAATAAGTTAGAGTATAATACATCCGTGTGTGTATGTGTGTACACTATACATTATATATATTATATATATATATAAGAAAATGAAAAATAATTATTATGTTTATTCCTATCTCCCATATATAATATTTCGTCGATCCGTATTCATTCGATTCGCTGTTAACATCAATTGCTTGTAGTATGTGTAGATATAAATAAGTATATTATTATRAGTCCCATTGAAAAATATGCAAACCAACAATAGTAGTATCAAGCAAATATGAATTAAGTAATTAAATCGTTTGATTGAATACCTTATTAAAATAACAATGATGTATTGATATACAATAATTGATATTTAATACACATTTAGTTCTAAATATTCTTAAATCCATACTGACCAAAAATTATTATTATAAAATACTATAATATTCGAGACAACTAGATCATTTTTTTATATGTACATAATCATCATTGTCATCCTCCAAATTTAAAAATTATAGTACTTACTAATTGTGTACTTAGAATATATATTTGCATGTTATTTATTCGATTCCTTTAAGAATAAAATGTTTACCACTAACTGGTTTCCATACTTCCCTTGTATATCTATTAAAAAGGTAAATTACATTTTTACAATAAATAAAAATTGTTTTTAAACAATAAAATTCAAATAAATAACAATACCTATACTTATAYAAATGTATTATACAACTAAAAATATAAATTTTTCATTGTCACTTACTAATAATTAAAATTTAAAATTATTCATTTTAATCTCTAAATTATCAACGAACACACTTCTTGGTAACCCACGCCGTAAACTTAAAAGGCAATGATGTATAGACATTATTTTTCAGTAAGCGAGCTGAATAAGTGCTGGATGTTAGGTAACACCTTTAAGAATTWAAAAATTATAATTGTTATTACTGTCACTTTATAGCGTCTTACCACTGGGTATACTCCCTAATCACACGATTCATGTTAATTACTTATATTTGTCTTTTATCAAACCTACTCAATGTAAAATAATTATGTATAGATTGTAAATTTACTTCAATAAAAAAAATTCATTTTTTCGTATTCTTACWTAAATTATTTGCTTTTTTAACTCGCTAAAAGCTGTATAAAGGTACTCGTGAATAGTTATTGATGTTTTTTTTTTAGTTAGAAAATGATTAAAAGTGATTTGTATTTTTTTTATTATTAAAAAAAAATGCCCTTCTTATAAATAATCTAATAAACCTTAAATTTACTGTATTATATCTGTTTTATTGTATACTTATAATAAGCGTTTATGGTTCAATGGTAGACATTTATTATGACAGTATGCTCCAATTACTATGGCGGTGGRATTATTTTCCACCAAAAATTATGTACATTTTTCTTCCATAAGAAAGGTTAATTTCCATTTTCCATCAAATATAAAAAAAATATCGATAAATTCAACCATATAACTGTTATGTTGTGTATTTAATAAGAAAGAATAAAGCACTATAATAGTCGATAATCTATCGTACCTAACTCTGATTAAACCTAAGACGTTCGTAATTTTGTTTATCAATTATCACTAATCCTTAGAGTTATATTATTTTTAAAGCTTAAATTGTATACAAATTCTGTTGAAGTAAAAGTAATTATAGGTTATTTATAATWATAAGTATACTACTTACTAGTATACTACTTACTTACTATAGTTACTAACCTAACCTATGATAGTGCCTATTTAAAAAAAAAAAACATTTTTTAGCGTTAGAATTATTAATCTATTTAACTACCATATTACCCATAATCAATTTATATGTAATTATATTTAACTTAGAGTATTTATTGATATAAAATATGCCGTTACAGGTGCAAAAGCTTCCAGTCTGTGAAGCGGAGTGAGATATGTCGCATACCCGGTTGTTCCGTATCGCCTTCCGCTCCCGGGACGCCAACTCCCATCCGGTTGCCACAGTTCCAGGGTGAGACTTTCAAACAGTTCATCAATTATGTTTACACGGGCAAGGTACGTGTGATATAAGACTACATAATATATAACTACGTCGAGCATAATGTTTAATGCCACTACATTGTGTTCCTAACCTATAACCTACCTATAATAAAAATAATAGTAAAAATCTAGATGGACGTTTTTAATTAGTATTATCTTGACGTGTGCGTGTATTTTAAATTTTTTTTGAAAACTTTCTATACGCAATATTTTCGACTTAAAACATAACTTTCTTTTTTTGTATATATTTTTTCGCTTTTAGAGTGGAAAATATGTATCTAGCAGTGGTTCCCAAACCTATTTTTCGGATGGCACATRCATTGTTATTATCTATAGCTACTGAAAGTCACGGACCAATTAAGATAAATATTTTATATTTATCAATAACTCAAAATTGTTTTTAATAATATTTTTGTATGGGTCTACATAGAAAAATTCAAATTTTCACGACATGCCAAGTGTTCCGCAAATACATTGATGTTAGCAACTAGATGCTGACTCAATGCAACATTTTTACTCCAATTTCATTTGTATTATAAGGTTAACACACTTAATTTACTGTTCACCCTTCACCTCGAGATACTGAGAAATTAAATCTAAAAATTGTTCATTAATAAAACGCGTACTTATACAATAATTATAAACATAACATAAACTCACACCCAAGAAAAATATAACGCTTCTTCGCTAAGGCTATACCTGGCTATTATTAGAAACCTTATAGTATCGGCTCTTATCACAGAAAGCAAAAAAAAAATATCTCCAGATAATTGATTTTCGATAATTAATTTTTAAACTACGAATGTAACGAAGGTACCCCTTCACTTACGCGTTTGAAATGGGGATAATCGCTTCTTCCTTTGCGAAACGTTGAGCACACGAAAAGGTGCGTACATAAAAATTTAAGAATAAAAACCTTGGGTTGGTATCTAACCACTAGGTATATTAACCTAGTCACAGACTTCTGGTATAAAAAACGTGTAAGATTTTTTTTAGATTTAAATATTATTTGTTTTGTCCGATTTATATGCGGAGAACGTATTCTAATATTTACCTAAACAATATTTATTTACGAAAAACGAGTGTATATAATACACGCATATACAGCTACAGTGGCCCAGTAAAGTAATAAATTTATACTTTCATTAAAATTATAATCGTGTTTATTTATTACGTTGTAGTGGAACTTCCAGGGCCCCAAAAAGTATGCTTTAACCCTCATAATTATTATTCCGGTACCATAGTGATTTACGACTGCATGGTATACTGTCACAAGTTCAAGCTTATACCCATGAAAAATTATACACATTTTTTTCCGCTCTAGMTGTGAAAGTTCACTGTGCTTGATGTTTAGTTCATTGTTCGGAAATAAATAATAATAAGGTGTACTTTATATTCGTATATTATGATACGAGCATATGCCAGCCGAGTATCAACGATTTACGATTTTAACCAAAGCAATTGTATGCAAATTTCAAATAGCTGTCAAAATTTCAAATTTTTATTATTATTATTTTTTTTTTTATTAATATATTCACTTCTCTTAAAAACACATCAATAAATATCATGCTAAAACCCAGTTCATTGAACATTGACATTTGAAATTTCTACGATTGAAAAAAAAATTAATTTCTGAATTCATGAATGTGGATTCATACCATATATATAATATATATATAAACTTTTTGTAACATACATAATATAATATGTGTGTTTTTATTACCTATTATTTATTATTGACAGTAAACAACTAAAGTGGCAAAACCGTGTTATTTTTGTGTTTATTTAAAAATATCGATCAAATTCACTCGTTAGCCGTTATTATATAGCTAAGTCATGTTATTGCCATAATAAATGCTTAAATACCTCTCAAGCTTCGAATTTATAATGTTAGATTAAAAAGTGTATGTCCTCTACTCTGGTTTCTCGTGACTTGAGCAAATAAATAGATTACATTTGTCAAATATTTGCAAAAATYACTCCTACTTTTAAATGTCTGTTGCTAAACAAAAGAGTGTAAAAATGTTTTAACCAAACTGTAATGTAATTTCGAGTACACCTGTCTCGCCATACTCAAGTGGTGCATCGAGTGTCCTCAGCTGTAAATGCTTGCTGTATATATTTTATAAACAAAACTTGTCATCCACACGCTAAACGTAAAATCCAAAAACTTATCTTTATTTCTGCTGGGGCTAACCAAGCAATGTGTTTGGCATTKATGTGCACCACTCGAATACGATGTGTCGATGTATTATTATTATCATAATGATTTGTTTTCCGTCGTGTTTGATCATCGTTGGCATGTTACATTTATATAGATCGTGTTGCAAGATGGCGGAGTTTTCGAAATGCTCACGCTGGCTCAAGAACTRGGTGTAGAAGACCTGCAAAACATTTGTGAAGAGCACGTAACTTCAACTATGTCCGTGCTGAATGCTTGCACATTTTTGGCTGCAGCGATGGACATACAAGACAGAGCTTCCAGTAAATATACCTATATATGTCTCACGATTTTTCCATAGGCTTTCATATATTATACACAGATGTTAAATGTATATGCGTGTTTCTGCAAAACCGTAAATAAGTAGTCAAAGCTACATCTTACTAATTTATGTTAAAATGTTTAAAATGTAATCAAACTCAATTGAAGCAAAAAATTATATTTTTTTAAGTATGCTGTTTATTARAAACAAACATATTTAACTTTAACTGATTAKGTTTGTTTATGTACCTAATCCTTGCATATTAATAAGCAAAAAAAATAGAATTGGCCTTTGGCTAATGGTCAGACTTTGATTATGGTATCATATCGTATGAATATCATCCCAACAGTATTAGATATAATAATATTATAAAGTATTRAAAACTTTTTATCTTTTTTAAAATATAGTCTAGTTTTATATCATAAAATAAATGATATTATACATATATCTACATTATAAATGTTATAATATTATAGACTATAGTGATATAATATTATAGTGATACAACTATCAGATTTTTAACTATTGATTAATTTCTTGAAATTCATCAATTATAGATATAAAATATTCAAACTAACAATTCTCAATAATTACAAACAAAACTTTGCTACTTTTGGTGTACCATACGCTGCCATGTATAATGTATAGAGGCACTGTAGACTATAATGTACAAGGTTCAGTTGGTATACTTATGATGAAATGTTAGCAGGTGGAAAGGGCGCAAAGTCTTTCGTTGATCGATGTGTTTCGTTTGTGGGCGAAAACGCAGCAAAATGCGTGAAAACCAATTCGTTCCTGAACCTACCCAAGGAATCGCTGATCAAACTCATATCATCAGATTGTGTAAGCTAGGCTACTTATACAACTATAATACATACTATTATTTTTTTTAACCTTTTACAAAATAGTATCCAACAATTAGCTTCGGRTCACTTGTAAGTAGGTGACTGATGTTATCATGTGTGTGTGATTTTCTTACAGTTAGCGCTCGAAGAGGAGGACGTATGGCGAGCCGTGGTGAACTGGGCGAAATTTCACGCTGGTGTGGTGCAGCGGACAGCTCACTGGACCGAAGAGGAACGGGCCAGGGTGTGCCAACATTTATCCGGAGTCATYAATCACGTCAGATTATTATTGATAGGTGAAACGTTTTCTTATTTCTTTTCACAATATCATAATAATACTAACTATTAAAATAATATTAAATTATTTCGACTAGACATTGCACGTTAGTCCTGTCTTGGCGTTATTAATGTTATTATACTAGCACGATATCGATATTCGATGTGCTTTATTATATAGGTAATCTGTTCGGTCATGCACGTTGAATAATATTATCATTTTTTCTTCGAGGTTTGTTGGAGCAAACTATTATGCACATGATTTTATATGATAGATTTAAACAAATATACGATTAAATATAAGTAAAGCTATCTTCGCGTATTATTTAACGTTATCAGTAAGTCTGATTTAACTTCACAGCTCTTGACATATTATACAATATACTACATCGTAACTCGTAAGCGTTGCTGATATTGTGATAATCGACCATTGTAATTTACAGTGGTTGAAATTCATTTCACAAATGATTGTTTTTACGTTCTTATTGACGACTTACAGACTCTCAGGTATTTGCCGAAGAAGTGGAACCAACGGGTGCCGTGCCAATAGAAATGTCTCTTGAACGGTACCGTTTCGCAGCGTTACCAAACAAGTTCAAAGAGATATCGGATGACCATCGTCTTCAACCACGAGTCATGCTCAAGTTCTTTTCGGGGTCTCATATTTTAAGTCAAGTGAGTTTGTGTCAGTACTAAAGCTGTCGCTTGTAATTTCTACCTAAAAATGAAATTATAATAAACAATTTTTATTGTCACATACGTGTCTTAAAAACAGTATGTCACATCATTGATTTTAAAATCAATGGTCAAACTATCCCACCACCTTACTAATATCACTTACAAAGTACACTTGTATTATTAATTATTATACCATGTGGTATTTTTAGGATAAAACCCACCTGCAACGCGTATTAAATCAGTGGTATGGCAGTGTGAAACAGTGTTGGAGGTTGATCTACAGAGCATCCACCGACGGGTTTTCCGCCGAATCGTTTCACAAGCACTGTGATGGCGTGTCTCCTACCTACGTTTTAGTATTGGTAAATTATATTATTTAACCATATTCTCAATATCAATTTATTTATAATTATTCTGTTATACATACAGATACCTACTAATGCAAATTATTCTGAACTTTTTATTCGATGCATATTAATTATACCTATAATTAATATATTAGCTTTGCTTTTCACATTGAATAACCTCTAGAAATTAAAATAAATTACAAAAATTGACCAACTATAAAATAATATTTTGATCAAGAAGTGTAATTTATGGGCCTTTGAAAATGTTTAGTCTAATTTTCCTTATTGTTCTCACAAGAACAAATATTTTAACTGTTCAAATTTTTCACGCATAGAAATTATTTTAATACACCTCCGAATAAAATAGTCATTATAAAAGTTCGTCGAAATATTGTATTCATTGTAATTACGCAAATGCAAATCATATGCGCAAATTGGCGGCTTCATTATGTTATTAGTTATTATAAACGTCATCACAATCCAACAGACAAACAAAAACCTTTAAATTATTCTCCCTTTAAATGTCTACACCCTCGTCATAACGGGTGCACCCCGTTGCTTTATGCAATTGATGGTCTCTTGATCTTTACAAGTTTTTATTGCGCGTTAGTTTTTTTGTTTGATCTGTAAAATTCAAAACAAAACAAAAAAATACGTGATATGGTCTTTGAAATAAACAAGGGAAAATTAAAATTTATCAATTAAATAAAAATATCAATAACATAAATTACCCTACTTTTTCTTTGATAATAATTAACACGTCATTTGTGCGTCATGTGGTCAAAATCAATAACAACGAAATACATTTGATTATTTGTGTTCACTCGATAAAATTTTTAAGATCCATGCGAATAACTACATTTTATATTATAGTAGAATAGGTAGTAGATTCTCCGTGCATGTTCTACTGGAGGAATTCGTTTTTATAAAAAAATTTCCCCGCAGTAATAACCGGTCCATTAAAAACGTTCGCGTTTAAATATTAGGTACTTATATAAAATATGAGCGTGTCACTTGGATTTTTGTATTTCAATAAAAATCACTGTTTAATAGTGTATGCACTATGCCTGGAAAAAATATTCTATAGAATATCACTTAACCTTATTTTGTACACTTGCTATGTATATCATAATAATTTAATATAAAATAGCTATCAGTGGCGTGGCGATGGGGGTAATCGAGATGCGGCCGCCTCTCAGTTTTTTTTTTTTGGTGGGTGATGGGTGACACTGGGTGGATGGGAAATAATTTAAATTCATAATAACGAATTTAGGATAATAACACATAAAATGATATTTTAATACTGTCTAATATAGATATAAACGAAAGCTAGTATCCAGTAGGCAGTGGTTACTAACCATTAGTTGGTAATAATACCTACCTTATAAGTACAACTGTCTGTGAAAAGCAATCMCCCCCCCCCCACTCTATTTCCAATTGAGAGACAAAATTATGGTTGATGGGTGGGTGGGTATCGCAAAATATACTTGCCTCTGAAAATATTCGAGTTCGCCACGCCACTGATAGCTATAGCATAACCATTACCTCAGATTTAGTTTGTCGTTTTTAAAATCTTTATGACATCGAGTGGTTCGAATGATGTATGAATTAAATGTACACGGAAATCATTAATACATATTTATATACAATAATTATACATGTGTATTTTAAAATCTTACATTTACACACACATAGGTGCAACCCGGAATCATCGTCCTTAACGAGTTTTAAATGGATTTTTTTTATTTCCATATACAGGGTGTGAATGGCTGGCTGTGCGGAGGATACAGCGACGTGCCGTGGGGTAAGAGTCACACTAAGGGTGCTTACATGGTGTCCGATAAGAGCTTCCTATTTTCGCTCAGCACCACTCAAGACACCCCACCGATAAAATACGATATTGTTAAAAAACCGTACGCTATTTGCTACCATCAAGAGTAAGTATACAAATTTAATTTCTATACCTACTGATTGTATTGCATTCAAAACTCTTTACCCTACACTTAAAAAATTATAATTTCCTGTCCAAAGTAATAATGATAAAAAATAAATAAATGAGAAGGGGTGGAAAGAGAAATGAGTGATGATAAAAATGTTGGTGAACAATAAATTTTACTTTAATATTTATAACATTATGTAGAAGCAGACCGCGTACCATATCGTGCAGCGAAGAGATTAAAACATTGACATTTAAAAATGTGTAAAATGGCATGCATTTATGCGGTTTTTGATTAAAACTAATTATTATATAACGTATTGATATCTAAACTGATATAGGTAACTATTTAAATATCTTTGTTTTTTAAACTATTTGACATTTTATTTCGTGTGTGAAACATAATTCATGTTATTTCTAATTAAAAACTGGTAAATATATTTTTTTTGTTCCAATCATAAAATAATTATTAAAAACCAATAAATGATTTTTTTAGAAGGTTTAGTTTTTCATACTTCACAAAATAAATTCTTATTTAACAAATACCTATGCTTGGAAAGTTTTTCCTCCGAGTTTTCTTTATCAATCGGTATTTTATACTAGGTATTATCGTAAAGTACAATAATAATTTTATTGAAATAAACCACATACGATTACAGGATAGGTCCGATATTCGGGGCCGGCGCCGACTTGCTGATCGCCAACAATTGCAACGCAAATATGGACAGCTACAGCAACCTGCCGCACTCGTACGACGGTGAAAACGCGTCGACCAACTCACTGATGGGCGACTACAATTTCACCGTGGCCGATTACGAAGTGTTCACGCCTGTCTCGTCATCGAAATGAACTAAACTTGCTTACGCGTGTTGATCCACCAGATATTGACGACTATGCCGTGTTTTGATATTATCGCGATTCAGAAGAGCAAACTGATCAAAAATAAAAAATAAATGTTTAAAACTAAATCTCAAATATAAAATAATTTGTAATATTAAACTACAACTATAACGCGACTATAGTGTAATATATAATATCATCATAACTGTACTTCAAATATTATATATTGCACATAAACACGCACATCCCGATCCAATTACCTGAAAGATCGCCACCAGCACGACGCTTTAGGTATCATCTCGGTCCATAATTTATCAGTGAGTTTGATGATTTGTCTCTATCCGATACCCTTACTCACATAAAGCTTGAAAAATATGACGACCAATATCCCGCTTCGTATTTAATGTGTTATATTATCTGAAATCATTATATTATAGTATGTAATATTTCATGATTAACCAGTTAAACTTTTAATTCTAAAACGTACCTATATTATATAAATATGTATTCATATAATAGGAAAATATAATATATCAGGTTGGCAGATTAGGTGGATGGTGGATTGTAGCCACCTTCACCCTCCCCCCCACACAAAATGCATGTGAATATTTTAAAAATGTTTTACACGTTTAACAGTGTTGATATATAATATAATATATTAATATGTAAAGTTACTTTAAGTAGCTATGAATTTTAGAACAAAAAAATGAGGCATAAATACAACGAATTTTACAAAAAAGTATTTTTTTTTACAATAWCTCACACATATCCCTCGTTGTATACCAATAGTCAGTACACACGTGACATTTTCAGACGACACATATTATTATTATAGCCATCGGTTATAATAATATCGTAGGTAGCGATGATACACCATTATATCACAAAATACGATGTATATATATTTAAATTATGATTTCAACTTAGTAAAAAAAGCGTTGATCGTCCACTGATGCGAACCATATAGGCGAGGTCAACCTTTTTGTCATCATATACGCCGACAAACTCTTTGAAATTGCGTTCGCAAACATTGTTACGCTTTTGAGAGGTATCTCTCGCCCGTCTTGGAGCCGTCAGACCGTAAGATTGAATACTTAAACCCGAACTCCTTAAGTGTGCTATAAACTTACAATCTCTGACATGGGGCGTGAACCCTCGTTTAAAGTATATTCAAATTAAATAATAAATTACACGACATTTTGAATTTCTCCTAGTTTGCTCCATATATGACGACGGCGACAACAAACTCCAGACAAATCATTACGGCAAGTGATCAAGACAACACGTGTTATTATTTTATATTAATTATATTTTTATCAGAATAATTATATTATAATGTAACTTAAATGCCGTGATGGTGTATTAGAAAGTATATGCGAGTAGTATACCACCAGGTAGCACCCACATCCTTATTAGTTGTTATAAATTTATGTGTAAACAATAACAAAATTAGTATATTATTATAGGTACACGCTGATTAAAGATTTGCACTTAAGATTATATCGATTTAGTTGTTGATGTATTGATTTTTTAAAACCGTACCTAAGTAGTATTTATCGCATACATTTTTTACTCCAATAAACTACAATTAAAATCCTAATAATTTACTTGTGATGTACAAATTTAAAAAGTTTTTTGTATGAAAGTATATTCAATATACAATTTTTAAATAGTTAATTCTTCAAGCGCAATAACAACAGGTTTTTTAATGCTAAAATATTTTAAAGATCTATACGTTTATTGATTTATTTACTAATACAAACCGCACTATAGAAATAACGTAACGGTCCGCGTAGGCGTTAMATTGTCAAATGAATATTTTAATTGTTATGCAGATAATATATTTTTGGATACCTAGTGATGTATTTATAAATATTATGCTGTTTATATTTTCATTTAAGTCAGATAACATGATATAATAAAAAAATACCAATGCTAATGAAACTACTCAACCGATTTTAATAAGATTTTATGTTTAATGTGGYAGCTTTTGTTCGACTTAAAGTATAGGTCATTATTAATCCTTCGTCGGGTGGCCCTTAATTGTTTTTTTGAATACCTAATAATAGATTTTGATGTTGAAGGAAATTCACTGGTGTCGCCTTGTTGAGTAATTTTTACATTTTTATAATTTTTATAAATTATTTTTTTTTTTTACACGAAATATATCCTCGGTGACATACGCCATTGGGTGACAAAATTTAAATTATATTGGGTTGTATTTACATTGACAACTATATTATTTTGCAGTGTTTATATTTTATTTTGAAGTTCTGCTTAATAACTTAATTTATTACACTACCGTTATTAAATTGACTGCAATTCAAGTTTTGTTCTACACAATTTACTTAATCATATTAAATGTTGCACATACCATGATTTTTTTTATCAAAATGTACTCAGGTGTCTACTTCTTACATTTCATATATTTCCATTAGATCAATTTTGATTTTTAACAGTTTCAATCGTATCAGAACCTATGATATTTTGAGAATTTTTAATAATAGTTAATTATTAAATATTCGATTTGTAAGTGTTATTAGTCAAACTTCGTTAAATAAATGTATTTTGTTCTTTCTGAATTTTTTATAAAATCGCATGCGTAGAAATATAGAATGTACCATTGCACCGTGCTGACTGTAATTTTATTTAGGTACCTATCCGTTCGGCGATAATATTAAATTATTTATAAACTAATAATACCTATGTTATTATATACCGGGTGACTCTTTTATCATTGAACAATCATTATTTCAAAAATTACTAATGTTTTTCAAAATATTTTTTTACATAGTTTCAAGTTGTTCAAAAACCAACGGTTTTATTAAAAAAATTTATTTTAAAATATTTTTAATCCTTATCATTTTTTTACTTTTTTGAATGACAACATAGAGTTTTAATTTCATATTCCAAAGCAGAAT